AATCCCGTCCAAGTCTGGCCTGGGGTGTGAAGGGGAATAGCTCGAGCTGTTTCTGTGATATTTAGTCTTACTTAAGTCCAGATGTGCTCTCGCTCTCTCTCGCTCTCTCTGTCTCCCTGTCTCGTCCCTCCCTCCCTTCCATCCTTCCCCCTTCCTTCTTGCAGTGTGGGAATTGAACCCAGGGCCTTCACAGTGAGCTACATCTCCACCCTTTTTATTCTTTGACACAAGGTCTTGCTAAATTGCTCAGGCAAGATTTGAATTTGTGACCCACCTGCCTCAGCCTCCCAAGTTTTCTTTCTTACTTTCTGTCTTTCTTCCTTCCTTCCTTTCTTGTTATGTTGCCCAGGTTGGACTTAAACTCCTGGCCTCAAACAATACTCCTACCCTAGCCTCCCGAGCAGCTGATACTATGGATGTCACTATATAGAGTCACTATATAGATGTCACTATAGAGGCCACTCTGTGGCCAGCTAAGCTTTCTTTACAATACCTCTGGTACTTTCCCCACTGGCTTCTAGGAGCCTCTTTTTGTCTGGGACAGGACTTGTGAGTATGTATATCAGGTCTTTGAAAAGATTTTCCATAAAGGGACTGGCAGAGAACTGAACAAAGCTGAGGACACAAGTGGACATCATTTCTGTGGAGCAGTTGCCAGGCAACACGCTGGTTGCTGACCAGGGAGAAATTTCCAGGACGCTAACATGGGCCTCAGTGCTGATGACATGGTGCCTTTGTAGACGAGGGCAGGGAATCCCCAGATTTCCTCACACTGTCCTCCATTTTAATTGTCGGTGTGTGCTAATCATTGTTTGACAAAATAGAGAGAAAGGAACCCATGGGGAGGGGATATGGCACGGTTTTTAATGTGGTATATTATTTCTGTACTTTTTGCTCCAGGTTTGTCTGTCACAAAGAGGAGCCAAGAATTCTCCTACTCGCCTCCCACATTTAGAGTGTGGGGACTCCCTGGGTAGCGGGGTCTGGATTGTCGCTCCTGGTGCTACGCCTTTGCGGCCTCACCATCTCAGCCATGGGTAGAGAACAGTGACATCCTCATCAAAGTCTGGGCCACAGATGTGGAATCAGTGATCCCTGACCTAGAAGTCTGCTAGATCCAAGTAGCAATTCCCTCCTTCCTCCTATGCTTCCTTTTTTTCCTTCCTTCCTTCCTTCCTCCCTCCCACTCTTCCTTCTTCTTCCTGTTTTCTCTCTCTCTGTCTTCTATGTCTCTCCCTTCTTATCTCCCGACCCTTCTCTTTCTTTCTCCATTCCTTCCTTTCTTTCTTACCTGGCCCCTTTCCTGGAAACTGGTGTGAATAAAGACAAATGCCAGACCTAAAGTCTCAACAGGAACCTACAATTAGGATCTGCTCTCTGAGGTGTGGTAAGAAACTTATTGGTTAATGTTTGCAAAATGCCAGGACATTCTTGAATAAAAGCCCTTATATAAGTTCAAAGTATTTGTAATTATTATGATTATTACTATAATTTATGGGGTTTAGCTGTAAATCTCATAATAGGATGAGGTCAACACTTCCAAAACGCAGCAGCAGGATGGGGCCGTATATAAAGCCCTGTGGATGCACTGCCTCTAAGGACAAGAGCTCACTGAAGACAGGTGAGTGTGGAATAGGCATAGAACCTGCGCTGGGCTGGGGTTGCTTACAGTGAAAAAATCCACTGAACGGTGATGGACTGATATTGATTGTGTTCTGCGGCCAAGTAAATAATAAAGGTCAGATCAGATGAAACTTACAGTCTTTGCAACGAAAACCCAAGCTTTAGAAGATATGTAAATGTTAGAATGATTTTATTTTCCTGTTCATTACAATACTTAGACAAATTTATACTTCTTTTAATGCAAATATGTGCTTTCTTTTGGATTTGGGTGCATGTGCGAAACAAATAATAGGAGAAGAGAAGTATATGTGCATTGCAGTCGTAGCTCAAATGGGATGGCTTGTCTGTGAATTCAAAGCCAAAAGACTAAGGTGTGAGGGCCAGTGATACAGCTCAGTGGCACAGCGCCTGCCTGACAAGCTCAGGGTCCTAAGTTTGATTCCAGGTACCAAAAAAACAACCTAAGGTGTTTGTATTTTGCCATATGGCAAATCTCTTCCCCACCCTCACATTCGATGTTGCCAGTGTTACATGAACCCGGACACTGTTAGTGGCGGGTCTGTAACAGAGTCCTATTTTCTCCAGAAGCTGTGAAAGACTAAGGCTAGCATGTCTAACAGTTTAAGCATTGACTAGCAGAGTAAAAGGACAGATAGGCTTCAAGAGTCTATCGATGGGACAGAGAGGCAAAGTCTCTTTGATTTGTTCTTTGTTAAGAAGGGGAAGTTCCAGGACAAGTCTCTACCGTAAGGAAAGCAGCCATCTTGGAATTCTCAGCTCTGGCAAACCCAAATGGGCCAAGTGACGAACAGCAGATGCGGCTGACAGAAGCCCCCCTTAGCAGTGCAGTCTTCTCAACAGGAAAGAATTTGCCTACAGAGAACCAAGAAGAGAATCAGTTGATCCTTCTGAGGTTTTCTGGGCTGGTCATCAGGGCTCATGATCCAAACTCACCAACTATGTATTTTCACAGACCGTGTAAAAATGCACTCTGTGAACAATGACGGTTTGAAATGAGCTGTTGTGCTGTAAAGTTAGATTTTTTTTTTTTTTATGCTCAAGAAAATGAATCCCCAGCAGCAGAAGCATTTTGCATGTGTGACTGTCGCTGCCGTTATTGTTTTAAGGACCGCTGATGCACAGTGCTCTGCAAAGCAGCGGGCTGGGGTGTTGCTGTATGCGCGAAGTCGGGAGAAGAACAGGACATGACGCTACCGGAAGGGCCTCTCAGCCCATGGGGAGCAGGCGAGGGAGAGACGCATTAGCCACAAACAAGGCCACAGCACGTCTTGGAGTGGAAGACCATATAGATGTGTAAAGCAGCTCTCAAATCCTTCCAATCAAATGGAGACCGTGGTGGGGCGGGGCTGCCCTCCTCTCTAGGCAGGTCAGGGTGTTTACTGCAGCACAATTCCAGGCTGGCCGGAGGGGCCCGAGGACATGGGATGCTCTCATTCAAGGGTAAGGTGAAGATCAAGAGCATCGTGGACAAGGAATGGGAGTTCTACAGTGAGAGAACCCCAAAGACCAAAGTCCCTTCTTTCTACTTTGCCCAGGAAACTGTTGAGCAGAGGAAGAAATGGTTCTTACCCCTTACAGATCTAAACAATGCCTGAGAATTACAAAGTGCCCGATGGACAGAAGATAGGTAGAAAATACATCCTGATCAAGGCCACCAGGAACTTGAAGTAGCCCTGAGGGGTGCTCTGATCACCAGTTTCTAGGGTAGCGTGTTGTTCTGGCCGTTAAAACCCCCCTTGCTGTTTGTTACTGACTTGCTCTTCCAGGTGACAGAGGAATGATGCCACCATAGATATTGTTCTTGGCATCGGGATGCCATATTTGGCTTGGCCTGGCACTGTCATAAATTTCAAGGGCAGGGAGCCACAGAGGTATTAACAAATTCACCCTAGGTGACCAGTGGACAATCCTCAAGCACACCCCATGGCGCCTCAACGCTCCGTTCCAAACAAAGAGTACTTTTGGGCACCTGTGTAGTTGGGTCGTGGAGTTTGGGTTGCTTCAACATGCTGTGTTTATGGATTTTGGGGTGGAACATTTCGTCCATCCATCCCTGATGTAGCTGGAAAAGATTAGATCTGGTCTCCTGGACAACCAGATCTGGTCTCCTGGACAACCAGAAATGACTGTGTTACTAAGTAACTGGCACATTTATTTACACAGACTCGGGCAGGTACCTGCTCGGCACAGATGTGAGTTCCGCGTTCGGAAAATGAGGTGGCTGTCCTGCTGCAACAGAAGCTAAGTCTTGAGTTTCCAAGGGGAAGCGTCTTTCTTTCCTCAGAAAGCACAGTACGAGTGAAATACCCTAGGCTTAGTGTTTGATCACAGCCAGTGCCTTTTTCTAAGGCTCCCTTCGTAAAACCAGGGAGACACATCCTTAAAGACAGATTCCATGAGACTGTGAGCTTTTTATGTGCCAAAGCAGCTTTCTCCATTGTTTTTCTCCTGGATGGACTGTCCTCTTGCGTTCAGTGCAGGGGGCTCAGGATGCTGAATAATTAATTCCTGTTGAGGGATTTAATCCTAGGGTTCTTGCAGACCCAGCTAAAAGTTCCTGTACCACGCTGGTGACTGACCATGACATTTTCTGCTCAACTAAGCAAAATCAACAGCCCATCCCAAAGTTGTAGGGGAGAGAGGCTAAAAGTGCAGCCTCATCTGTGGCCCTATGCCCCTTACTTTAAGAAGATGGAGCTCACTCGGGGTGCTGGTGCAGCTCTGTAGTCCCAGTGCTATGGGAGGTCGGGGCAAGAGGATGTGGATTTAGAGCCCTGCCTGGGCAACTGAGTGACTTAGTGAGATCCTGTCTCAAAATAAAAGAATAAAATTTCAAAGGGCTGGGGATGTAGCTCAGTGTGAAGACCCTGGATTTAATCACCAGTACCATAAAACTAAACAATAACAACAACTTCTACTACTACAGTGTCTGTAATCCCAGCACTCTGGGAGGCTGAGGGGGAAGGATGGCAAGTTAAAGCCCAGTCTGGGCAATTTAGTGACTTAGACCCAGAATACTATTAAAAAAAAAAAAAAAAAGGCTGAGGATATAGCTCAATGCAAAGGTCCTGGCTTCAACAACCATGGACCTTGCTGTCTGGAGACATCATGTCTTTCTGAGTGTATGGAAGAGACTGCCCATAAGAATAATATTAAACCAAAAGAGGGCTGGGGGTACAGCCCAGTGGTCGAGATCTTGTCAAGCAGGGACCTGGGTTTGGTCTCGAGCACCAGAGAAAAGAGGTGCAAAGTGCCAGGTTTCCACGAAGGCTCCTGCAGGTAATGATAGCAATAACTCAAAACGACAGGTTGCCAGGCTCCGCTGCTCAGGCGAGACAATCGGAAAAGCCCTGAGGTGGGAAAGGTTGGTGGAGGTGGACGCTGTGGGCCAGGGGCCCGGCTCCTCCAGCATGCCGGGTCAATTGTGAGCTGTTCTGGGGTATGTGTGTAACTCATGGGGGTGCTGGGGGAACCGGGGCTCCTTGTATTCATGCATGGTGTGGAGAGGAGCAGTGGGCTGAGACAGAGAGAAAGCGGGGCAGTGCGTGCTTGATGGTGTGTGGTTATCCGTTCTCTAGTCAAGCAAGTGCTTGATGAGCTCCTCTGGGGTCCCTGCCCCTGACCTGACTTCACACGCGATTGTCTTTCTGTCCTTCTGGGTTCTGGCTCAAGAGTTTTTACAAGCTGGGTTGGGTGGAGCACCAGGAAGCACTCTGGAAGGCTAAGGCAGAAGGACTGCAAGTTAGAGCCCCGCCTGGGCAATTCTGTGACTTAGACCCTGTGACACTATAAAAAGGGGCTGAGGATATAGCTCAGTGTGAAGTCCTGGGTTCAGTCCCCAGCACCGGGCAGGGTGGAGGTGAGCTACAGAGGGAGAACAGGGAACAGCGTTCAAGGTGACTGAGAGGCTCTGGAATTCCCAGCATGGAGCCGAGAGCAATGGGGAATGACTCCCAACTCCATCCTTCACCCAAAGTGAAGAATCAGCATCTGTCCCTAGACACCAAAGATAGTGTGGCCTTTCCTCCTCCCTAAAGGGCAAAGAACCCAAGTCAGGGAGACCACCCACACGAAACTCTCCTTTCCATAGTACGTTTGGATAATGAAGAGGCTCTTTGGGTAAGACACAGGCATCAGAAATTTGTTTTGCAGAGACTTGAGTCAGGGCACGGTATTTCTGGGTGTCCAGAGTGAAAATGTCTTGACTTCTTGCTGGTACCCAGTGTCTTGATGCTGTGTCTCATCCCTGTGGTTCGAGGAGAAATCTCCTTTTTAAGGCAGGATGGAGCACTCGTCCTACTTTTGCTGTGTGTGTGTGTGTGTGTGTGTGTGTGTGTGTGTGTGTGAGATGATTCTACTCCTTACGTTCCTACGTCTGACCCAGGAAATCTTGTTCCGTTCATTCCCCTCGCCCCAGAAACGTCACACATTGTAATGACAATGAGCGGTGATTTTACATCGTCAAGCTAATGTTCATTTTCAAAGCATTTCAGGAGCGGCAGAGCCAGATCTCCAGTATGTCTGTGTTGTGGCTGCTTCTGGGCCTCCTGGCCCTGGCTGGTGAGTGGGTTTTATTTTTTTCCAAACCACCTTGGAGGTGGGAAGGGGAAGTACCAGAACACAATAGGACGTTTATACTTAAAAGTGCCGTGGAAATATTTTTGTTCTAAAATGTCCAGTGAATCCTGGAGTTAGGAATAGTCACTGGCAAGCAGTCTTTCCCTGAAAACCTCATGAAAGTTTGGGTTTCCCCAGAATTCAGGGTGGGCTTTAAAACAGTGATGCTCAGGACCAGACTTGAAACATGCACCATCGGTAACTACTCGTTTCCCACTCTAAAAAGTATTGATTGAATTTATTTATAGACCATATATTCCATTGAAAGGTCGAGGTGGTTGCAACAATCAGATTAATATAATTCAAGTGAAAAACTAGTACAAAAGCTACCAAGATGGCACCAAGCTAATAACCTGCAGGCTGACCCAGCTGCTGCTATTGTGCTGGTGCTTTGGCCCTGATGTTCCTGACAGCTGGGACAAAAAGCAAAAGCGCCAGTTTTTTGATAAATACAGTGAGGAATCCTAGTTCCTCAGGAGGTACAAAGCTTTTCCTGTCTCTGAATTTTAAAATGCCTTACATTCATTCATTCCTTTATTGGCTCAGTCCCTCAATGAATATTTGTAAATTCCTACAAGGTGCTAAGCACTGAGAGTGGGAGGAAGTTTGACCCTCCTAGAATGTGGTCAGGGGGCGGTCCACAGGGCAGGCAGTAAAAAGTGACAACCAACTGCGCCTTCAAGGGCAGTGAGCAATCAGAAAGATACAGGTGCACTGGTGAAAAACATGAAATAGAAGACACTGGCTTGTTCAATTATTAATACACTCATAAAACACCAGGCCTTTTTATCTCCACATTCCTCATCCCAAGTTTAGGAGGCAGAAGCATTTACTCCAAATACTAGTATCTTCAGATGTCAACCCCACGAAGCCGTAAGAACATAGAACCTAGAAATGCATTTATGTAAACATATGGAACACACATGGTGCACGCACTAGAAAGATTTCCAAAGATAGGCAAATCGGTAAGATTTGATGAGGCAACCTGCTTTAGATAAAGAATAAGATGAAGGTATTCATTATGTATCACAAATATGTACTAATGGAAAAGAAAAAAAATACTTATTATTGAAAAAACTATAATTGGGGCTGGGGATTTAGCTCAGCGGCACAGCGCCTGCCTGGCAAGTGCAAGGTCATAAGTTCGATTCCTGGTACTGGAAAAAAAAAAAGAAAAAAGAAAAAAAGAACTATAATTTTAGAAAAGACCCTATCAAGAAGTTATCGGCTTACAGTGATGAGAAAGTTCTCACAGCGAGCAATTTCCTGCCCCATAAAAGTATCTTATTACTGGCTCATGTGCACTCCTCCTAGTGCTGATTGTAAATTTACAGTCATGAGTAAAGACACCAGATACCCAAATCCTCAGATGCTTAAGTCCCTTCTCTAAAATGGCGTAGCGCCTGCAGAGAACCTCCTCCGATCCTCCCCTACGCATTCAGTCACCTCTAGGTTACATTTCGTTCCTAATACAGTGCAAATGCTATGCCAGTGCTCGTTAAACTGAGCTGCTTAGTGAATAATGACAAGCACAGAGGTCTGCACATGCTCAGCACAGGCAATTTTTTTCCTCAAACATTCTTGATTTGCAATTGATCGACACCATAGGTGCAGAACCCACACATACAGAGGTTCCGCTGTCTATTGTCAGTACTCATTGACCCTCATTCTGGTGTGCAAAGAAAAAGCAGGCTTCTCTTACAGGGTCTTTGTGAAATCTCATAGGATCTAACACAATGCCTCCCTTTCAGGGATGACTCAATTCTGAGCAGAGAAAAATGCAAAGAAAGGCAGGGAAGAAGCAGGAGAGAGCCCCCCCCCACCCCCCATGTAGAGACCTGGCCCTGTGCCTCACATGTGCACCCCCTCTTTGCAACCTGAGGCCCTTACCTAGAACACACCAAGAGAAGGTGAAACCAACCCCAATATGGGCAGTGACCTTCCTCTGGGTCTCAGTTGAGACTCCCTGGGAGACTCAGCTTTTGTCTGTGTTTCTCCAGAACCAACACGAACATCACACCAGACCAAGGAGTCAGGAGTATTTGAGTATATGCTGAGGGAAGTAAGATGAAGATTAGGATGCAGGGAACCGACAATCTCTGATTTGTTCTAAGACCCATAACCCACAGCATCAGACAGCCCCCGAGCTTTGCAAAGAATGTAGCTGCCCCAGTAGATCCTCAGATCTGCAGGACAGAAGGCTAGCACTATCATAGCATTGTCTGTGGTCATTTCTTAGTTTACTGTTGGATCAGTTCCTAGAGTTTCAATTGCAGAGTCAAGTTCTTATTATTCATTGATCACAGTCGCCTTTATTAATGTCATTTCATTCATAGACAGAAAGGTGGTGAGGTCTATTCTAGTGCAGTGCCTAAGGCTAAAGCTTTCTCAACCTGCAGACTCATCTGAAAGCAGCAACTGGGGATGCTACGGGAACATCCAAACCCTGGACACCCCAGGAGCATCCTGCGGGATTGGAAGACGCCACGGCCTGACCTACTGTGGTAGTTACATCTCCCTGTCCCCTTGTGCTCTTTTGACATAGCCTCTGGGGTCCCACTTGTTCCCAAGCCAAGGAGTGGGGAGGACAATGCACATGGAGCCCAAAGACCTCATCAGAGTCCTGGCTCTGCTCCTTCATCCAAATCCCCCAGCTGCCCTGACCGCCTGTGAACGGTGGGGGTGACGGTCTTGATGGTGTTCCAGACTCTAAGCAGTGTCACGGAATGAGAGTGCTTCTTAAGCCGTAAGTGCTTAGAAAGTGAGGCCAGCCAGGTAAATTAGTGTCACTTTTCATTGTTCAGAGCATTCTTGTTAAACAAAGTCAAGCTCTTACTCAAGTTCCTACACAATTTCTTGGTGTCACTTAGGAGTGGAAAGATGGCGGACTGCAGGCAAAACCAGTGGGGGACTCCCAGGACTTCTTGAAGGGCTTAGGGGAATCGCTCCTCCATGCGTGTACCTGGCTGGTGGAGGGGTGGGCACTGCACGTCTTGCTGGGAACCCTTTCTGGGGTGCGTGGGAGGGGCCCAGTGGCGCCCGTGCCCGCAGAATTGCATCAGGAGAATTGCTGGTGGCAGCAGAGGACATCTGTCTCAGGAGATGCATGGGAGGGACACTGGCTCAAGCTCTCAAGAAGAGAATCTTAATCTCAGCTCAGGAAGCAGCATCAGGGATTTAGGACCAAACCCTGGGCTCCCAGACCTCTCTCTCCTTGGGGGCACCCCTTTCAGTGTAAGGCACCCGGAGCTGCATCCTTCCTCCTGCGTTTGCTTTAGGAGTCCGTGCTTCTGAAAGACTGGCTGAAATAGACCTGCCTTACCTGCTGCGATACCAGCCCATCGTGCGGACGGTCGGCCGGAAGTACTGCGTGGATCCTGCAGTGATCGCTGGGGTTCTGTCCAGGGAGTCTCTCCGGGGCAGTATTCCGATCAACGTGGGTGTTCCGATCAACATGGCGCAGGTATCTCCCCATCGGGCAGTGTCTCGTGTGGCCCTTCTGTGGCTGATGCAATGCTAAGGACATACCTGCGTGTTTTCTTGTTGTTGATGGCACAGTTCCATAAAACACACCACAGGTAGTGCTGCCTGGATTTGGGAGGTTCTCAGTTCTGCCTGAAAGATACCAGCAGCACCATTTCTCCTTGCTTAGAGCCACAATTTCTTTTTCTTTCTTTCTTTTTTTTTTTTTTTTGTCTTTTTGAGATAGGGTCTCCCCATGCAGTTCAGGCTGGCCTTGAACTCACTTTGTAGCCCAGGCTGATTTCGAACTTGCAACGATCTTCATGCCTCAGCCTCCTGAGTTCTGGCATTACAGGCATGCACCACCATGCCCGGCCACAATTTCTTCTCAATTAAATGATGCTGTAGTTTTAGGATACCACCCAGGGCACCCTATTCTGGAGTTCCAACAAGGCAGTGGCCAGGAGAAAGATTAGAGATGGTGTCCGTGCTAAGTTCTTTCCTAGCTGTGGGGCCTTGAATAGGTAATTTAACTTCATCGTGCTTCCGTTTCCTGAACTATAAAATGTCATTTTTTTCATTGCTACGGATCAAACCCAGAGCCTTGCACATGCTGGGCAAGAGCTCGACCCCTGAACTCTGGCCTTAGTCCTACAATGCCATCCTTTTAGATTATAATGAAGGTTGAGTGAAATCATATACAAAAGTGCCTGGTAGACTCGCAACAAATTCTAAGTTCATTATCCCTTGTCTTCTTTCCATGGAACTCTCAGCTCTGAAGGTTGAGTTCTACTTTTGCACTAACTCTGCCTGGCATACTTGTTGGGAAGAGACTTCCAGGAAACTGGTCAGACTCCACTGTCTGATTAACTCTCCGCTGGGGTCAGTGACGGCAAAGTTGAGTGAGGCTCAGTTCTTTCTACTGTATCTCAGGCCACTGTTGTTGAGAAGCCTGTATTACAGTCATTTCTTAAGATTTTAGGAACATTTATCGTGCAGTGATCCTTAAACTGGCTTTGCACGAGTGATTCCTTGTATGAAACTGTAAAGTTCTTTCAAATGACTTTTCTCTTCGATTTGGGGGCCCACCATCCATCCTTGTCAAGTGAGGAAATGAACTCACAAGGGGCCAGTCGCTGCTGTTAAAATCACCCAGGAAAACGCACAACAGGGACAAAAGACATCTTGTGAGGTCAGGGCTGGCATCGTTACTACTGCCCCCTGCTGGCTCCTTTGTAACATCCGGCTCTCGGGGCAAAAGATGAGTACAGCTGTGTTGAAGATGAAGCAAGAATCCCCTCAATTGACACATTTCTCCTAAAAACGTGAACCCAGTGTGAGAGTGGAAACCAGAGGGGTGTAGGAAGGGTGAGAAGTGCTGCTGGACACCCCGATAACCTGGAAGGAGAATTTCCAGGACAGACGGCCTGTTTTTGGCCCGCTGGGCAGTTCTGCATCGCAGCACTGAGGGGCATTGCAATGGAACCCGCACAAACTCGGCCGCCTTCGGTCTCCATAGGGCCTCCTGCCCTCACCCTGAGGCAGCAAGGAAATGACTGCTCATCCCCTCCCTTAGCCCAAACCCTGTCGCTTTACTTTTTTCTCTTGTTTTGTAGGGACATTTTAACATGAGATCTCTTTACAGATCTTACTTAAAATACCATCCCGTACATAACACAGTAGCACTAATTACATGTACAATGTTTTTATTTTTTATTATTTTATCTTTTTTTGGGACAGGGTCTCTCTATGCAGTTCAGGCTAGTCTTGAACTCACTTTGTGGCCCAGGCTGGTCTTTTTTTTTTTGGTACCAGGAATCAAGCTCAGGACCTTGTGCTTGCCTGACAGGCACTTATGCCACTGAGCTATCTCCCTGGCCCCCCAGGCTGGCCTTGAACTCACAACGATCCTTGATCCTCCTGCCTCAGGCTCCCGAGTGCTGGGATTACAGCAGTGCGCCACCATGCCCGGCTCTACATGTACAATGTTGCACATCAGATTTCTAGAACATTTTTACTGCAAAGCTGAAATTTTGCACATGTTGGCTAGCACCGTTCCATCTCCCTTTCCCCTGGCCTAGGCTAGAACACCATTCTCTTCTTTGTGTCTGTGTGTTTCACTATTTTAGACCCTGACTATGAAGGAAATCATGTGGTATTTGGTTTTTGTCTTCCTGTGACTGGCTTATCTCACTTGGTATGATGTCCTCTGGGGTTATCTATATATTGTCCCTGTTACAGATGGCCTTTCTTTTGGAGACTGAGCAGTCCTTCAGGGTATGTCTATGCCGCATTTTCTCTGTTCATTCATCTCAGGAAGACTTTATTGCTGCCAACACTTGGCTACCATGCATAGCTCTGCAGTGAACACAGGAGTGCTAATGTTTCTCTGAGATCCTGATTTCAATTATTTTGGATAAACACCCAGAGATGGGGTTGCTAGATCACATGCACTTCTTTTTTTTTTTTTAATCACATGCACTTCTAATTTTAATTTTCTGAGGACCCTCCATACTGCTTCCCGGGGTGGCTGTGTCACTTTTCACGCCCATCAACAGCGCCCAAGGGTTCCAGTTCCCCCACATCCTCCCCGACACTTGTTTTTTATGTCTCTGGCAGTGGCTTTGCTCTTTAATCCCCGGCAAGCTCAAAGGTGAAATGAGAAACACAGAAAGAAGAGGAAAGAAAGACACTGAGCACACCACATGGTGTCACTCTCCCCCGGCTCACCTATTTTTGCCTCTGCCTCTTGGCCTCTAGGACACAAACGCTTTTGCTCCCACATCCTGGATCAGCGAGTCCCAGGTTTCCCAGATGACCAAGGTTCTGACTAGTCGAATCAAAGAAATCCAGAGGACATTTCCAACCTGGACCCCCACCCAGTACCTGAGAGGTACGTATAACCCCTTGGTCAGTTGTTTCACAGGGTGGAATTCAAACAGACAAATTGAATACCTTGCTCCACATTTACTCAAACCACAATTTCCTCCTGCTAGGTAGTCAAGAAAGAGAATCTGCGGTGGTTTTTTGTTTGTTTGCTTGTTTGTTTTTTGCTGAGTGTCCTGAAGCAACATGGCTGGGATTAACCTATCCCATGTGTCGGATGTAGATTCCGTTTCTGTCCAGGGATGACAGGTCCCGAGAACGAGGTACCCGTGGATGAAGAGAAAAGTAAGAGAAACAAGAAAAACAAGAGAGGCGTAATTCTGGGATCAGGGGCGTACAGCCTCTCGGACTGCAGCCCCGATTAGCAATCTCAGTCACCTTTTATTGAGCGAGAACCAAGGGCGTAGCTAGTACAAATGGGCAGACACCAAACGTTTTAGCAAGGATAATACAGCTAATTAAAGGATTATCCTTCTCCACATGCAATCCAACACACATCTGTAATCCCAGCACTTGGGAGGCTGAGACAGGAGGATCGTAAACTCAAGGCCAGTCCGGGCTGTACAGTGAAGCCTTATCTTAAGAAACCCTAACAAACAATAAACAAATCATTATGTGTCCTCCGTGCTTCTCTAACAAAAGAATGTCCTTCTCTACACCCATGCATTTCAGGAGGACTCTGTGCCTATGGCGGGGGCGCTGGCTTTGTCAGAAGCAACGAGGACTTGAGCTGTGACTTCTGCAATGATGTTCTTGCGCGTGCCAAATACTTCAAGAGACACGGCTTCTAGTACCTTGGGTGAAACCCAAGTTCATTATCACGCAGAGGCCGCAACTGTTACACGGAAAATCTAGCCAATTGGGCCTGCCATTGAAATCTCAGGTTGACCAGACAAGGTCATCCGCATAACTATGAATCACATTAAAGGAAGAACGGCTATCTGCATTTTGTGGTCTGGTGTGTGTGTGTGTATGGATTATGTTCTGTATCTCTTTCATGGAATTCCCAAAGTGTGATTTCTAATCTGGATTTCTGTGAAATGAATCCTATTCCTCTGTAATTGCCAGATTTAGCATCACTTTTATTCCACTGAATGGGTACAAAAACTGTCAGTCAGAACTGCTGATAGCAATTCAGCTACACAGACTTACTTAGTTACAAAGCCAGTTAGGGATAGTGCCATAATGCAAACGTAGATGTCTTCTGTTCTAAAGCTCATCTTTTAAAGCTTTTATTTTGCCAAGGTGGTACAGGTATCTGCTTGGGTGGCTGCGTGCACACGTGCTTGGGTACACCTGTAGAGGGGTGTCAGGTGGACTGTCCTGGTTTGCCTGTATCCAGACAAGACTACAACCATTTAAAGATCTTGGTTGGGTTTCTTTTCCATTCTAGAATCTGGTTACTCTTGAAACTCTCGAGACAGGAATCTTTGAGATAAGAGTTTATTGAGTAGTTACAGATGCTCCCAGGCAAGGACCAGGTCCTGGGACGAGTTCCGGCACCCCCACATGAAGGCTGAGAGGAGGTGGGAAAACACTGGGCCGACCATGGCCAGGAGCGTTCCTTGTTTTGTTTCTTAGTGCACGTTAGTAATACAAAGTGTTGAGGATCGTTTTGGGTATTTGGAACATGCATTTAACACATCTTGACCCTTTTAAAGTCCATTACCCCTCTCCTTTACCTTCTCCCTAACCCCCTTTCCTATCTCTCCTTTATTTTGTTCACTTTAGGTTTTTCCCATGAGAAACATACCCTGTTTAATTTTCCAAATCTGGCATATTTCGCTTAGCATGATAGTCTCAGATTCCATTGATTTTCTCGTTAATGACATGGTTTTATTCTTCTTTATGGTTGAATAATATTCCACCATGTATAAACACCATTTTTTTCTTCATCTATTCATCGCCTGATGGGCAACAAGGCTGCTTCCAGAGCTTAGCTACTGTCAACTGCACCGCTACCAACGCGGGTGGGTGTGTATCACTATAGCACGTTGTCCTGAATTCTTTCAAGAGTGTACCCAGAGAGATACGGCCAATCAAATGGTACTTCTGTTTTCAGTCTTGGAGAACTCTCCACACTGATTTCCACAGTGGCTCTACTGGTTTATAGTCCCACCAGCAAGGCAGGAGGACTCCTTTATCCCACGTTCTCACTCGCTGTTCCTTGCATTCTTGATGATAGCTGCTCTGCAGGGGGTGAGGGGGTTCTGAAAGCGGTTTTGATTGGTGTTTCCTTAATGGCTAAAGATACTGAGCATTTTTCACGTACTTATTGGCCATTTGTACTTCTTTTGAAAAGTGTTCAGTTCATTGGCCCATTTTTATTGGGTTATTTGTTTTGGGGGGAGGCAATTTTGTTTTGTTTTGTTTTTTGAGACTGAGTCTCACTATGTAGTCCAGGCTGGCCTTGAATTCACTGTGTAGCCCAGGCTGGCTTCAATCTCACAGCGATCATCCTGTGACCTTCACGAGCGCTGGGAGTGCAGGCGTGCACCACCACACTTGGCTGGGGGGTGGTGGTATTTTTTTAAGTTCTTTATATAGTTCAGATATTAGTCCCCTAGCCAACAAATAGCTAACAGTTCTTTTCCTATGCTACAGGTCATCTCTTTACTCTGATTTTTCCTTTCCTGTGCAGAAGCTTTTTGATTTGATGCGCTCCTATTTGTTGATTTTATTATTTTTTTGTGAAAT